GTGGGATGGGAAATTACAAGTACTCAATTCTCATACTACCCATTCACAAAACATTAAAACAAACACTTTTACCCAGTAATAAAAAGAAACACAAATTTAAATATCACCTTAAGGCTAAAATGTAAATACTATTAAATATGGTTCTAGAAGAGCCAAGCAGCCTTTTACTAAATCACAAATTCTTCTTTTGAGAGTCTTCCTTGCATGTAAGAGAAGAAGTCTATGGGGTTCTGTTGACTTGCACATGTCAAGAATAGACATTGACATTGGTACCCACACACAGAAATAGAGTTTGGATAGGATTTAACTACACTGGACTGAGTTAGATGTTCATGTTGGACCTGGTGCAGAAAATGAAGAGGGATACTAATTATTAAAGATGTCTTTGGCACCCCAATGCAAAGTTTAATAGATATGCTCTCACCTGATCATCAAAAAATGCCCTAAGAACAGGTATGTATTGCTGTTGTCCCCATTTGACAAGATAAATTTGAGGCTCAGAGGGGATCACCCAACTTTTCAGCAGTAGAGCCACACTGTGGATTGATGGTCTTGTCTGTCTCACTCAGGACCACTCTTAACCTTGATAGTGATTATGTGGTGTCAACAGCCAAGAAGTTTCAGACTCCGTGTCTATGTTCCTGACTTGAGCAAGTCCAGGGAAGATCAGCAAACCAAAGCACCCTAAACCTCCCGACTGTGCATTTGTATACTTCATTAAAAGTATAGGGGAACATATACTGCAAGGAGAGCACTCTCCTAGGCTCTGTTGGGAGGGACCTAGAGAGGAATAGGGTCTCTGCTGCCAAAATATGGACAATGTGATTCGAGAGACAGGCTGGTGTGTAAATATGAGAAGGTCCAGCGCTGGATAAGTGGTTGGTCAGATACATGAAGAGTCCACTTGTCACATCCTGCACCCATGGCTATGCTCTTGGTTTAATATTCCCCATAGATCTGAGAGTATAAGAGCAGGACTGATGGAGGAATTCCCTTTGAGCATCTTTCCTGACATGGCAGATATCTTTTGTTGCTGAACAACAGTGATCTCCTTAAAACCTTAAAACCTCTACAAGTAGTATAGACTTTGTTTTATCAAACCTGTGTAACATACCAAGTTGTCTAAGTGCTCTGCTCCATGGCTCATGGTTCTCCCTTACTCTTCTTGGTGGTGCTTACAATAAAAAAGCTGCCCATTATTGATTGTTTAGTGGCTGTCATTATCTCATCTACTCTCCACCACTACTTTCTGGGGGTCATACAGTTATGTCCCTTTATAGCTGAGGACCTGGAGGCTCAGAAAGGTCAAAACAATTTGCTCAAAGTCACACAGCTGATAAGTAGCAGACTTGGGGTTCAAAAGTACACCTTGGCTTCGAAGTCCATGTCTTCAACTTCCACTCACTACTGAAAATAATCCTTCCATGGGTGTGATACAATCTTGTAGCTATACAAACTTCTTTGATAGGTGTTAGTCATTACCAAGCAACTGCTGTCTGCATTCAGAAAGCCTTAATTTTTAGGTATTCACATTCAGTTCAAACCAATGAAAAATAAAGCAATTCTTTTATTTTTTTTAGAAAACACAAGTTAATCATATTTTTCCATCAGCCACTTAAGTAAAAAATACTTATTCTCATTGATTTCTCTACACCTACTTTCCATTCTACTTAAATGGAAAGCATAGATGCTTCTATTGATTTTCTGTGGCTTTTTTATTTTGTTTTGATTTTGGTCAGAATTCTGAGGCCTAAAATGTGAAAAGTTATTTTTCTGCTACTCCTGTCTGGGAGATTTGCTGAAAAAAAGGTTGAGAATTCAGGAGACCTCAGAAATGGAGCTGAGAAAGTCAGTGTTGGAAGAAGGAGTCTGTCCAGGCTCTCATTCAGAAAGGAAAATTAGGAGCCAAAAAAACTAGTTCTTACTCACAGATTCTTTGAGACTTCACAGATTCTTTAAAGACAAGACCCTTCCCTTGACTCATCAATTATGAAATGTAGACAAGAACTCAGAGGAATCTTAAAGCCAGGTAGTGATGTTGCTGACAATACCTGGAAGGAAGTGGACTGAGGAAAGGCAAAGGTTCCATCCTTCCTAGAGAGCTGGGAGCTTGGGTGCCTGTGGCCCCCAAATGGCATGTGTCCAAATGGCATGGAAGCAAGTGTGGTCACCTTGATAGGCAACATTCATGATCAACTTACAGCTTATCCCAAACCACTGGGTTCTGGAATGCTTTCTTAGGCTGTATGGGCTTCTTAGAGAAGTGTTATAGAGAAGAGGCACCATGTGGTACCCAGGAGGAAACTGTCCCATGATTCATCCTCTTCTCATCCTGGCTGACTCTTAGTTGATATAATAGACATTGCTAGGTAGTATTCAACAGCACTCTCTTGAACTCTCTCACTTCTTCCCTCCTATCCCAAAAACACTCAGCTTGATTAGGAACAGTTTGAACCCTAATCCAGTGATGCTACAGGTGCCTCAGTTACTTTCCACGGGGAGTATGCTGACTGGTGGTCACAGTGGCTGAGACCACTTTCCATGAGGTGTCTAGAGGCCATAGGTGCACCATGTGCTCTGACAGACATGTGCATGTTGTGTTCATCCTAGTCACCTGTCACACCTCTCTTCCTGCACCCCCTGAAGCCCTGGTTCAGGGGAGAACGTCTGGGCTCTTGGAGATAGTGCCCTGTCCCCTTGAAAACACGGAGCGATGAGTTGGCTGTCTCACCATCCCATTGCTGTCAATGTGAAAGACCCCCACCCCATTCTAGCAGGCTGATTCTCTTCACACTCTTCTCTGTCTTCTTCTTAGCGGGCAACAAATACAGTTCCTTTCACTTGAGCAGGTATTTTCCCCTTGCCCTCCTTCCTCACTGCGCTTTGCGTTGCTACGTCGCCTATTATTATTCAGCTTTTCACTACTCTTATTCCTTCTCTTCCACCATTTTAGCCCATTTTGATATGTCCTGTTCAGTTCTTGTCCCTGCCCCATTCACCATCCAAGGAAGCAACTCAGAAACAATCTAGACATTGTGTGAATGTGTGAGCTATGCTAGGCACAAACAGTTCCACTTTCGACGACATAAAAGTAAAATAAATAAAGAATACAATTGTATTTATTTATATCTGGTTCCACAAGAGACAAGGTAAAGCATAATCGTTTCTGCCACAAGCAGATGTGTGACAGTTTGGAAACAGGTGTGTGAGTACACAGAGGTTGCATCGAAAAAGGTTCATAAAATGCAACAGTGCATCTTCACTGTGGGATATGCTTTGCACCTGATTTTGCAAACACAGAGCTGCCCACATTCTGTTTCCTGAACAAATAATAGATTATGCCAGCTGCTTATTCTGCTGTTTTACCTCAGGGAAGCAGTAGAGGTTAAAAAATTACATGGCTGATATAATCCATCCACTTATTGCAAGACCACACACACACACACACACACACAATGTGTAAAGCCATTATGAACATATTTAATATTTATGAAGCTATTTAGATGGTTTACCACTTCCAGACTTGTGGAATGTCATGCATGTAACAGACTGCTGTTCTTAAAATCTAAAAAAATTATACATTTCACTGAAGGCAATCCTTTAAAGTCATTAAAAAACTTTCTTCTTATTTTCACAAAATTCAACTTTTTGTTGAAGCATTTGCATCCTTTATCATGCATCTTACAAAATCCAGAATAGGCTGTTTTTTTGTAGAAACATAAAGATGAGGTGATTTTTCTTCCCAATGCATAATTTTGTGTTGGTGTGTTAAAATAGCAGTAGGTAAAATTTGAGGCATGTGGCAAGAGGATAAATAAAGAATGTCTAATATAAATATAATAACTAGAAGAATATTGTTGTGTTTTAAGCCGGAGCTTTCATCTCAAACACAAAACCCATCCATTATTAGATGATTCATATGTGGGTTTTCCATGGCTGCCCAAGTTAATGAGCCATGGACGCTTTCTGCGGAACCACAGGGATGTTTCTTGAGTCTAATTAATTGCTTGAAGTGTATTGGGAGAGGGTTGTCACAGCAAGAAAAATTTTATTTTTTTTTTAACCTGCTTACAAATGTTGCTTTAAAAAATCTGGAATTTTCAGAGAAAGTTTCTATTTTAGAACAAGAAAAAAAAAAAAAAGAAAAAGGAAAAAAGAAACGATATATCCCCATCTCTTCCCCCACCTAAGCTGCCACTCCCACCAGCTGACGCAGAACAGCTGGCTTCCTGCCAGTGGTTTCCATCACAGCCAGGCCTTTGGGCATCTGCACACAGAGGCTGCTGGTCGCCTCCTGCCGCCTGCAGTCCACCAGCAGCAGGTGATGTCTTGGTCTGGGAGCTGTTGCAGCTCTGTCCCCTGTCTGAGCCAGGTGGTCTTCCCTGGAAATATGCTTCTCCCTTCCTCCCAGAGCACTCTGCACTTCTCACAGCTCCTCTCGGGATGCTACACCATTCGTATTCAGTGTTTTCTGTCTAAAATGCTAGGTGAGAGTGTAAAGGGACGTTTAGAACCTGGCTTTTCATTTTTGGTTTTCCCGGGTGGCCTCCCTCAATCTCTAGGGAATCGTTCAGTTGCAGCAGGACTGTGGCATGAACTTCCGAGACTTGCTGCCCCACGGCAAGGCCTCAAGGGGCCCGGACCTTGTTCTCATTCAGCCTCTCTCTTGGAGTGTCACCTCCATAAAGATTGCAGAGCTAGGGTCGACCTGGTGCGGGGTTATCTGTGCTGAGTATTTTGTTCCATCAGATGTGAAAATCACTGTGCCCTGTTCTGTAATGCAGACATTCTACCCACAGTAGAATAGTACGTTTGCAGAGATTTCTGAAGATGGGCGTGAGAACTGTCTGCCGCACGGCCCGTGTTTGCACATCTCTCTGTAGTTACGATTGAAGAGTTTGACAGCAACTCTGAGTCTGATTAATTAAGAATGTGTAAAAACAAAGTTCTTGCATTACAGCTCGTTCCTTATCTTTGTGTCTTTTACTGTGATGTTGTAGAGCTTGGATCATATGGAAAACTAAAATATTATGACACAATGACTGAAGAAGGTAAGCATGATTTCAAAATTGTATGCATTGGCTTTCTTTTGTTTATCATGTCTGTTGCTTGCCCATTTTTTTTTTTTTGAAAGTCATTTTCTTCCACTTTGCATGACTTCCATGACGTTGTGTGAGTTACTGTTCTTTCTGCGTTTTGTATAGTTTTGCCATCGTGCTCATTTGGAATTGGAGACGTGCAATACCATGAGTAGTCATGTTATTCCATTCAAAAGGTCCAAACCATTGTGATTGTGTGACCCACTCAGAGAAATGGTGTCGGCAGCATGAACACAGGCACACACCCACGGTGTCAGCATTGGTCCCTTCACATGTGCACCACCATGCAGAGAAACATTGCCAGTAAGCACTCCTCTGACAGTGTGCCCCTCGTTTCAGAGAGAGGTGTATGTTCGGGTGGTATTCTGATTTACATAAAGAAATAAGCGACCTAAAGTCACTCCTGGACTTCAAACCACTCCTGGATCCCAGACCTGTTTCTGATTCAGGGTTGTTCATGTCTTCAGCGCCCACAGGCTCATGTCCTGCTGACTCAGCAAAGTCATTACGCTGAGAGATCAGGGTCACCATTCCAGCCAGTAGACTTGGACATATTGAGATTCACCCCCTGCAACCTTGGGTATATCATTTTTAACCATTTCCCTGGGGCAAACACGGTCTGACAGATTTATTTTTAAATGTATTTACTAATGAATCCCAGGCACTATCCCAGGGCACAACTTTGCCCCAGTTGATCCTTGTTCTGGGATTAGTTCACCATGGAACAGCAATTTGGAAAGTTCGCGTTCTTAGAAAAGACCTATTGCCTTCTCCCTCATCTCACAGAATCATAAACGATGCGTGTGAGTTATGAAAACATTTGCAGTTTTTACATGACTTTTACACTGATATTGACAAGATATCTGAAGGTACTCCCAGAAGGGGAATCAGCTATTTTTATACTTCAGTGTGAGAGATACTCCCAAACGGGTTGCATATCTTGTTTTCAGCCTCTAGCATTGCGAAGTTGCCTCGGCTTGCCAAAGATTTCCCAGTGGCTCTGCCTGCCACAAGCAGAACATCTGACAGCAAGAGGAAGCCCCCACACAGCCCCTCCCCACTCTGGCTTCTGCACTATCCACAGTCCTTTCCTGCTAGCCCTGTGCTTCCAGAACCACTGTGATGTTTCCTAGAGAAGCAGGGTTAGGGTCTCAGCCTGGACCCACTGGTAGTCACCCCAGGGCTCTCCCCACAACTTGGGGAAATGCAGACCCTTGGGGCAGTGAGGGCCCCAACAACAGAAACTACCTATGGGTATAAGTGTCCTACCACCAAGAGGCAAGAAAGACAACACAGACCTTAAAGGCAGGCACCTGTCCCAGCTCTTTCTATTCCATGTCTTCAGCCCACTTTGGCTCTTAGTGGCATTAGCTTGAGAAGCCAGAGCTGGGACGCACTGACTTCATCATTTGATTGCTCTCCCGCATCTCCCCAGCCCAAAGCCTCGGTTTCCTGGCTCCGGTGGCAGGTAGATTTGGTAGTTTCCTACTTGACCTGTCACGATTCTTCACTTCCTACTTCCCCCTATCCTTTGCCTTCCACCCTTAGGTTCCCATGGCCAGAGCTTTTGCCTCCCTGTTGCCTCAGTTGCCCCATTTCTCTCTTACCTGGTTTCTTTCCTCTTTCCACATCCATTTGAACAAGGGCTGCTGCCCAAGCACCCCTTTCTCTTCCTCCCTACCCCAGATCACATGAAGATGCAAAACTGCTCCTTCCAGTCCGATGACTGCCCTGGCTAATGGTGGGGCTTTCTAGGCGGGAAAACAAAGTCAAAGTAATGTCTGCAGTGATGGCCACAACTGGCCCTGGCCCGGGCCCTGGCACGACTGTGACATTGTGTTCGGCGGCCTCCATGGTCACCTCAAGCACTTCCTTTCTTCTCTTGACTTCCCTCTCCCTTCACACATGTCCCTTTGTGTCCTGTTGACTTCCCTCTCCCTTCACACATGTCCCTTTGTGTCCCTTCACTGAACATTTATCCCCATCACAGAGATAGCTCATCGTAATGAAGGCAGCATTTTTAAAGTGTGCTCTATGAAATACTATTTTCATCTTATGTCAATAGGAATCTTGTAACAACCCAGAATAAAAACAAGAAAGAAAGACTGATTTCATAGTTAAGTAAGTGGGAGAGCTTCTGAGTTAAACAGGTTCGTCACCAGGGGAGTCGGAGCCTCAGAGGTACCGCGCACTGTGGCACAGAACGCGTTGTCAAAAGGAACGGAGTTTGCAGTATTTCACAGACTTCATTGGCTATAGAGCCCATTCTTCCATGAAGCCATTGTGAGGCTGCTGTGGAAATGCCAGTGAAGGTGTTATCTTTCCCCTGGGATGGGAGCCTCTGAAAGATGAGTCTTCTGAACTCACCGCAGCCCTCCTCAGGCAGGCCTAGAAAGGATGCTTGGAACTGGAGGTCTCCATCTAGACACTTTAAACCACACCCTCTGGCAGCTGCCTCCGTGACAAGCCAGGCTTACACCTGATTCTGGGATTTCATCTAACAATCTCCGAACTAGCTCAGTAACCGCAGACCTGGCAACTGCCATGCAGGATTCCTCTCCGGGCCAGTACAAATAATAATCACTGGGATTGATGTCACTTCCATGTTGTACAATGGAAGGAAGTATAATGAAGATGATGTTTGGGGTATCAGTAGATTAGCTAGCCTTCAGGAAATACCTCCCTGTTGAAGCATTTCTTTTCACAATCTTAAAATGTGACTACCCGTTGAGCAGAGCTTTATCGTAAATGCCCATGGGACTAGTCATTATTTGTAACTATTTTCGGGGAATTCTCTGGATGTTGGATGATGTCAGCTACTTGTATCAGGCCTGAGGGTTTTTCCCCACTAAAGTGGATAAAATGGAAAGATGGGTTATATATTCCACCCCACCCTGAGGGAAATTGAGTGATGAGGTCCTAAATATAGAAAACTTGTTCTGCACATATTCACTTCATTATTTTAGCACCTACTGTATGCAAGTTACTCTGCTGGGTGCTTTGGGGAAAACAAGATTAAAAGGTAGGCAGGTGGCCTTCATGGGACTTCTAGATAGGCAAAGAAAAGCTAAAACACAGCAATCAATCACTTAGCCACCAGGGAGGAAGTGGTAAATACCATAGATATTCCAAAGGAGATGGCACACTATAGAGAAGGAAAGATGGCTTTCAGCTGGGGAGAAGATTTTGTGGAGAAAGTGATCTTTGAACTGGCCTCAAACGATCAGTAGATCTGAGTTAATTGGGAAAGGACGAGTGGTAAGTTCTGACCTTCCAGGCAGAAAGAGGGATAAAAGGATGGGGGCACACCCACCTTTACTGGGTGCCTCCCACCTGCCAGGAGCAGTGCTGTGGGCTTTATGTCATTTAATCCTCATAATGATCCCACAAGGTAGATTTCATTGAAGATGAGAAAGCCAAAGCTCAAAGAAATAGTTTCTTAAGATGAGGAAACTAAAGCTCAGAGAAGCAAAGTATAATTTGCTCTGGAACTCAGAGGTGGTAAGTCATGATGTATGACCTGAACTCAGAACTGGGTTGACCCAGTCCTGCCCTCCGGCCCCTCTGTGGTTAGCTATACAAGGTCGAGTGAGGACAGGTTAGATTGGCTGCAGTATAGAGAGTGGCAAAAAAGGCTTGAGGGACGACCACAGGAAGGGAAAGGTTTGAACCACAAACTAAATAAGGGCATCATGGAATGGACAACAAGGAGCTATTGAATACAATATAAACCCCTACTTGAATACTTCACCATGCAAAGTTCATTTTAATAAAAACAATCTACTCACTCTCAGGCACTGAACAAAAGTATGACATTTTTGCAAAATTTGTTCTTGCCCTTTAGGGCACTTTCCCTCCCTTCCTAGAACCTAAACTGGAGCAGCTCACTGGGCCACACCCAACCGCCTCTCCCACCCCAAGCCAATCAGAGTTGTATCCACACATTCATTCATTCATTCCCTAATGCACGGTTAGTGTAAGGTGACCAGACGTCCCGCTTTTAGCGGGACAGTCCCGATTTTTAAAATTTGTCCCGTGTTCCGAAAATCGGGACTTTTTTAAAACACCGCGGGACACAGGACAAATTATTTAAAAGGGACTGTCCCACCAAAAGCAGGACGTCTGGTTACCTTAGGTTAGTGCCATGTCGGACAACACAGTATGTCCCAGCACTAGACTGGGTGCAGATTGGGTGCAGGGCCTGTGGAGATAAAAGGCAGCCCTTCCCCTGAGGAACTCGCACCCTAATGGGGGACCCAGGCAGAGAGGGGAGTGGTGAGATGCACAGACCCGAGGTGCTGGGGGAGCCCAGCAGAAGGCATCTCCACTGCCTCAGTCCTGCTTCCCAAGATGACAACTACCTCACCAGCCACCAGATACGAATGTGCTCACTTAATAGTAACTGAGCACATGCTCTGTACGAGACATGGTGTTAGACTTGCTAGGTTAGTGAGCGTCACGCTTCCCAAGAACTATATTTTTCTTCTGCAGCAAGATGTTTCCAGAGATGCAAACCAGTTACTCTAGAAATAGTCTTTTGTTGACCTGAGATCCCTCTACCATAGCAGCCATCCTTCTATCTCCTCATGGGGTGATACTCCCTATTCTTAGGAGAGCAATCTCCAATTTCACCTAAAGTTAATAGCCCATAGTTTACTTCTCATCTGCAGATACACAAATGTCAAAATATTGTCACTCTGGACAATTCTCAACACACTGAACTTGGCTCCCTTACTAAATTTACTCTAGATGGAAATATAAAAAGCTAGTTGAAAAGACAACCAACTTTTATGCAATAGAACAAGATAAATTAAAAGGAAAAAAGATCTTTTCACCAATGGCATGATAAAGAACCATTAATGTTTGTTCTTTGGAGATAAATGTTCATAAAAACATATAGGTTGATAAACAAAAGTCCTGATTAGTATCTTGCAAAGGAGTGATATATGGGG